AAAAAAAAAGAGCAGCAGAAGAAGCACAAGCACAATGTCTGCCAACTGCCAGAAGTCCAAGAGCTGCCCGATCCCCACCAGGGTGATGCATCTGAAGGACTGGTCCCAGCTCCCGGACTGCTACAGCCAGACGCCCGGCGGGACGCTCTTCTCCACCACCCCGGGAGGTAGGCCGAGGGCCGCGGCGTGCGAGTCCGCTCGCCAGGAGCTCAACTTTGTTTTGAAGTGTTGTTCCTCTCTCTTTTTTTTCTTCTTTTTTTTTTTACATATAACCATCGGCGCGATGAAACTGTTCGAACCAAAACAGTGAGCGTCTTCATTTAAAAAAAAGGGGGATTTTCTTTAATAAAAACAAAAAACTGCCTGTTGGCGACCCTTATAAACGTCTGTAACTTTGGGGGAGGGGGTGTTCTTGACTTGCCGTCCCGCTGAAGATCGCTGTTTTTCTGGTAAAGCATTGCGAAACGGCGCTTATCCGTCGTGTTCTCGGGGGTGCGGGGTGTTTAGACCCTTACCGGCCGCACACCGGGCTGCGACGGGCACCTTTCTCCCAGGTTGATCGGGATCAGCTGCTCGGATGGTCGGGACGGACGCCGTGGCTCCTTTAAAACAGCGCCTGCCAGTGAGGAGACCGGGGCGAGCGGAAGACGAGCTGCAGCATTTCTCCTGCCACGGCTGGGTTTGTGCCTGTGCGCTTTGATTTAACGCGTCCTGTGGGGTTTTCCACGCGTGTTTGTGCAGAAACACGCAGCGCGTCTCGCAGGTCGCCGCGCTCGGTACCATTCGTCTCCAGGTGGAGCAGGAGGTATCAGCCCAGCCTGAGCACCAGGCAGAAACCCTTCAACAACACGCTGTAGTGCTTTACACGGTGCGCCTTTTCTGGAAGTGTTAAAGGGCTTTGTTGTTTCTCCATGGAGCACAGGACACCCGAAACCCACGGGATAGGTGCTCGTTTGGAGACTCGGAATATCCCCGGTTGACTCGCGCGGGGTGGGGGTGTAAGCGAAGCGGTCACTCGCACCTCGGCTACATGAGGGCCGAGCGCCTGCAGTGTCAAATTTCACATCTCGGTCTGGGATGAGAGCTCTCGGCACGGTTTGTCCTCACGAGTTCAGTTCACGTCTATATACCTTTCTAGCCTCTCTCGAGACCCGATCAGAAATGGAAGCCCGCTGGAATTCAGACCAGTTCTCCCAGTTCTGGTCACTAGCTCGGCGGAGCTCCTGAGGCACTGTCGCCGGACCTGCAGAGCGGTTAGCCTCCAGCTCTTGCCTTGTAACGCTGACCCTCCCTCCACAGGGGCTTAAAACCCGGCCTTTCCTCCCGGCTGAAATGAAGACGACCTAATTACAGCAGGAGCTGAAACCTGTTCCCCATGCTGGGAGAGTCCTCTCCTTGCAGCCGGACACTGATCTCAGCTGCAGGGCTCGGGGGTGGGGCACTGGTGTATTCCTGCGCTCCGGTCAATGGGACGCCGGGTGAAAGTGTGTCTTTTTACTACGGGGCTTTTCCTGTGCTGGGTCTGTGGACTTGTCCGGGTCGGACCCAGCAGAGCCGCTCGCTCGAGAGGAGGAGCTGGGGAATTATCGGCAGCCCCTCGCCTCCTCGCGCCTCGCAGCTGGGGCTCTGGTGTCTGCCTCGCTCTGGAGGACAGCCGGCGCTTGGCGTCTGTGCCCTGCTGTCCAGCCCCTGCCAGCTGCGCGGCGAGAATGCGGGCTGTGACTTATCCCTGAACTGTCCCAGCAGTTGTGTGTCCTGGATCTCTTCCCGGTGAGTCCTGCCCCAGGGCTGGACTGCTCTGGGGGAACGGCAGCTCCTCGTGTGTTGTAACTGTCGTTCCGAGCTGCTCTGAAAGGCTGCCCGCTGTGTTCAAGCCCTCTGCCCCTGCCGAGAGGGAGTTGGACACAGAAATGAAGCGTGTGGCAGAGAAACTGGCTGTGGTCTCGCCTGTGCGGAGGGGGGAGTACTGGGGGCCTGTAGTACTTGTAATGGCTGCCTTAAGCCAGCTGCAGTCCCTTGTGGAGCCTCCTAAACGCCAGAGAGATTCCCGTTTGCGTCCCAGTTGTTCCAGCACACCCTGGGGTGCAACAATATAACTCATCTTACTGGGGCTACAGACCGCTGGCGCGAGGTGGGAAGGTGCTCTGGTCTTGGTCTTGCTTGGACGAGCCCCGGGTGCCTGGCTGGTCCTGTACCTGCGCCGCGCCGCGATGGGCAGCGCCCTGCTGGCTCGCCGGGGCTGAGCAGGCGCGACGGCCGATTCGGACTTGCCTGGTGCACAGGCCAGTTCACACACGGGATTTAAAAGCGGCTCAAGAACGCGACAGTTTTCGCTTGAACAGGCCCCACAGGGGCTGGGCGACGTGCTGTTTTCCTCCAGGAGCTGCGCTGCTCACCCACCCCGCCTGGGCCCCAGAGTGAGGCCTGGTCTGGCTGGGGACCCGCCCATTCCAGGCAGCTGCAGAAATAGCTGAGGACACGCTGTCCCGGCCAAGAGCAGCGCAGCGCCGCGCCAGGGCGGGGGAAGGCTCTGACTTCTAAGAATCTGAAAGACAAGCTGCCCCTGTTGAGGAAACTTGCTGGTCTGTGTTGCCCTGCTGCAGAGGGGTGTAGCCCCAGTAAGGGGGAACTTCAGGACTGGGGCTGGTCAGCCGCACCCAGCAAGCCAGGCTGTTTCTGCAGCCGCCTCTTCACAGCTGGGGTGGATCAGGTGTACGGAGAACAGAGGCAGTATGTCTGTCAGCCTGCTGGGTGACTGCAGGATCGGAGACCAGCTTCTCTCCGCCTGCCCTCCTGAGCCGTCTATGTGTGCTGTTACAGGCCAGCGCTCCTGCCCTGGTCTCGGTGAACTGCGCCAGACTGCGCTGTCGCTGTGGAAAATCAGTTCTGTTCAAGTAGAACTCTCCAGGCTAGGTGTTGGTGTGATATTCTGCTCGCAACCGTTAAAGCTGTGTTTTCTGCATGCCGCCTTGCTATATGTGTGTGAAACCCGTTACTGGACAGTAGGAGTTCTCCTTTTCTCCCTGAAGCCACACTCCTGCTGCCTTGGCTCGGCAGGGCGTTCTGTGGGCTGGCAGCGGAGTTCGAGGGGCTCATGGATGTGGTCTTCATCGCTGCCCGTGCCGGGGCAGGACAGGATGTGGTCGGCAAAATGAACAACTAGAGAAGCAGAAACCGCTTTCCAGATGGTGTGTGTGCTTTTTGCAGTTGGTCCTTGCTGGAGCCCGAGACGCCTCCCCAAGTCTGTGTAACAGACGTCTGAGACCTGACCGAGCAGTTGTGCCCGTGCGATAGGGCCATCGCCACGCTCCCACAGACGCTGTAGCTCATTCCCCTCCCCTCCTGCAGCACGGGGGGGTCCTGCGTGACCCGCGTCTGTGGGCTCGTGGGGGGCGCCAGCCCGGGGCCTCAGGGTGTGGCTGGGTTAGGAGGACTGTGATCGAGGCGGCCCTGCACTTCAGGGCTCAGGGTTAGAAGTTGAAGGTCTCTTGTGCCGCCTGCACTGGTGCTGGGAGGAGGGTGAATGACCGGTCAGTGTGGGTCTGACACCTGCTGTAGCAGGCCGGGGGTCACGGCCCCAGGGGAGTGGGGGTGAATCTGAAGGTCCGAGGAGGAGGACTCGCACGGTGTTGTGGTTTGACATTCCTGGAGACTAGTTAAATCCTTGTAAGCTGCGCTCCTGCTGCCTCTTGTGTGCTGGTGACCTGGGCAGTCCAGTGTGCCAGGGCTCGCCGGCACGGTCTCAGCCTGGCCCCTGCGCTCTGTCCTCAGGCACCCGGATCATCTACGACCGGAAGTTCCTGTTGGACTGCCGGAACTCCCCGGTCGCACGCACCCCGCCCTGCTTCCTGCCGCAGATCCCCGGCGTCACCGTGCCCGCGCTGGCGCCCCTGTCCAAGCTGCAGGAGCTCAAGGAGGAGCTGGAGGAGCCTGACAAGGATGTGCCAGGTGAGGCCCCAGGGGGGCGCCGCCGAGGGCTGAGCTCCAGTGGGGCCCCACGGACGTGCCAAGACGGTCAAAACGGGGCGCAGCAATCTTGGGGGCGTCCCGCGGGGTGAGGTGCTCTGGCTGCGTGAGAACTGGGGAGAAGGCCAGCCGGAGGAGTCGGTGTCAACTCCAGCGTGTGCGTGTACCAGGAGGAGGGAGGGCCCCAGGAGGACGGGATCACCGCCCTGCCTCTGTCCTCGGTCAGGAGTCACGCGCCAGCCCCGCCTGCGCTCTCCTGGCAGCTTCTCCTCGGGGGCGGGGCCTGGTCTCGGCGCGTCTGGCCCGAGTTAAAAACATGGACTTTACTCGTGTGGATGTGTGAGAGGTCTTCAGAATGCGGTTATCTCCCTGGCTGTCGGTATGTTTGTTTGGAATCGGTCCCAGCAGCTTCAAATCCGGGTTGATAAACCGGTTGCTGCAGCACTTATCAGACCCGCACAGACCAGCCTCTGTTTTTCCAGTTTTCTGCCGTTTTGTTTTGCATGTTTTTGTTCAATGTGCATGGACCTCTAGTGCTTGTGCAGCCTGTTGACATGGTCTCGGAGGAACCAGGCTCTCGGGTGACGCGTGATCCTGGTTCTACTGCCGGCATGTGTCCAGCAAAGGAAACGGTTTAAGATCCTGAAGTTGTGTAACTTGTGTAAAGGAGCAGCAGGGGGAGCCGTTTCTGGAGGGTGGTGGGCAGTACTTGGTGGTAAGGGGGGGGACGGAGCAGGCTGGTGTGCGTAGCTTGGGCCAGGGCTGCTGACCTCTCGGCTCCCCACTGGCTTGTGACGGCCAGTCACCAGTGGATCACGGGAGGCCTCGTTCAGAAGCCCTCTGGGCTCTGCTGCGCTTCACCCCGCTGGCGCTGGTGGCTGGGTGGGTCCAGTAGTCCAGATGGCACTGGCTCGGGGAATCCCAGGCGTTGCCCGGGTTCGAGTCGCCATGCCGTGGTGGTGGCTCTTCAGGAGCTGTGGGTGGGTTTGGTGGATCCGGTTCGTTCACAGCGGAGACCTCGTGGTTGTGCCTCTCTCTTCTCGTGCAGACATGTTCACGTCTTTCCTTCTCTTCCAGCTGAGGACAATCAGTTCGAAATGGACATCTGACCTGCCGGCTGGCCGCTGAGGAAGAGACGGCTTCTCCCGTTCTTGTTTCAAGGAACCTTTTTGTTATTTTTTTTATCTTTGTGAAAACCGAAGGACAGTGCTCCAGCTCGGCAGCAGTGCCGGTGCTAAACGCTGCGTCTGGAGCTCGTGGGCTGGGTGGGTGGGGGGTTCGTTTTTCTTTTAATGTGGTTGTTTTATACATTTGGTCATGTTCTTTTTTTTTTTTTTCTAAGAAGAAATGTGAAATGGGTTGATTGGATAACCGTGTTTTAAGTTAGTCTTTGAAGACCTACTTGCGATGTTACGGTCGGGCTGCTGTTCTGTCCTGCCCTCTTGTGAGAGGAACAGTCCCAGCTCCGTTTGCGGACAACTGACGATGCGACTAACTGTTCTGCTCGGCAGCTGCTCAATAAAAGACTGAAAAAGAAACTGGGACTTAATTCCTTGAGTGCTGGTCCAGTGGTGTAGTACCGTCCCCGCCAACACTACATGACTCAACGTTCTGCATATGGGTAGTGTCCTCCTTGTGCATACAAGCAGTTAATGGAGCCAAGTCCAGTTTCCAGATTTTGGAGAGCCAGTCTTATGATGTAACTTTACGTTCTAGTAGTAGCAATTAAGACTTAAAAATTTTGACTGGGATTGTCCAGTGTAAGTTGTCCTTTTTTTAAATTGTAGTCCTTCCAGGCTTTGCAGATTTTGAGTCGACGGATGAAGGTGGTTTGAGCCCGTGTCGCTGTGGCTTCCTGGAGAGGCCAGGGCTGGGGCTCTGCGATTGGTCGGATCCACGAGGCCTTCGTACCTGGTCACAGGAAGCTTCCACTTCGATACCATCCCAGAGCGATTCACCTTGGGAAGGTTACAGACTGGAGGGAAACTGGATGGATTTTCTTAGGCTCTAGCACAGCTGGGCTTCCATTAACCTCTAGCGCAGCCCGTGTGATATCGGACTTGACTCCTGTTAAGGTTTTTCTGGCTGGGCTTGGCTTGAATGGAGCAGCGGAAATGATGCCGATACTCGTGAGCTGTTTGGAATGTTTATCCCGGGAGAACTCGCAGGACACAGGTGTGACTTGGGGTGCTGGTTAACCTGCACTGAGGCAGGCTGAGCAATAGTTATCAATCTCGTCCGCTGTGCGAGTCTCCTCTGAGCACAGATCATCATTATTTCCATCTAAAACTTCATCTTTGCTTGGAATTTAACAAACTCGAACTGTAAGCTGCTTAAAACGCTCTGAGCTTTTATCTGTTTGCCAACTGGTCTTAGCTGTCAGATTAACAACCCTCCCAGTTTTAACCAGGGGTGGAAGAAAACGCTACCGTGGGGTTTGTTGTCTTCAGAAAGTTTTCAAGGCCTGTGAGACTGGAGACCTGAGTGTGTGAAGAGCAGGATAGTGGGTACTACAATAAGACAGCTTAAGGCATTTGTGTGGATGATAGTCAGTGGATTCGCTTTATTTTTATTGTTTGTTTTAGAATGTCCAACAAACTTTTACCACTTCTGCACAGCTTGGACTTGGACTCGCTGGTGCCCCCCTACACCCACTCTTGATATGTAAAGAAATAAAATCCAGCCTTCATTACGAAAGCGATCCTCTTTGCCAGTAACTGGATATTGGTTTGGTGTTTCAAGACCGTCCCTCAGCTCACAGGCAAATGAGTTCATGTCCAGAACCAGTCCTCTTCTGGACCTCTGTCCATGAGACACTGGGCCACAGTGTGCAGCAGGCCTGACCCCCAGACCGCTGGGGTTTCTAGGCCCCCCTGCCCTGCCCTGCCCTGCCCTGCCCTGCCCTGCCCTGCCCACACCCACCCAACGGCTGAGGGATCTCCTGCAGCACCTTAGGTCCTGGAATGGAGTTTTGTTTGGTCTCTTTTTCTCTTAAGCTGGTTCTGATCTTTAATTCTGGTCCCCTCCTGTCTCTCTCCCCCCTCTCTGGTGTCCAGCCTGTGTGTTTCCTCTTCAAGAAGTTTCTTTGAGTTTATTTTGGAAAAGCGGAGTGGCGCGTGGACTGAGTTCGTCTCGATGTCGGTGTTTTTACTGTGCCGGCAGCCTGACCTGCAAAACTAAGAGTCCCGCCGTCACCCCAGAGGCTCATTTCATCACACACAGACACGCCCCCCCGCCGTCCTCGTCTTCGTGGCCCCGGTCCTGTGTCGGCGGCACCAGCTACTCCGTCAGTGTGAACAGAGCACAGCAAACTGCTGGAGCCTTATCTCCTGCCACTCCCTCGTCCTCCTCTATATTACAGCAATATTCTCTAATCTGGCTGTGTGAGGGTACTGTGTGTAGTTTAACAGCTGAACGACATTGTTTACCAGCCTGTTTCAATTCCGTGGGGCTTCAGGAGCATTTAAAAGAGGGAAAACATGAAATCGCTGACCTTATTTCTGAATTAGTGTCGCACACGAACTTGTCAGGAGGTCAGCGCAGACGATCAGATACCACCAGCTTCAGTTACTCTGTCCCATGAGACGGCACAGGGGCCCTCGGCTATTTTTACACCCGAGAGCAGGCTGAGGGTCCTGTGTCTGCGGCCGAGCTGCGCGCCGCGTTCCTCGTTGACATGGCGACAGAGTAAACACCCCGCTTGTCAGCCCCGCTGAAACACAGGGCGCAGCTGTGGGCTGTCAGCGGGGGCGCCTCAGGGGGGTCCCGCTCGTGAGTTACAGTTCGCAGAACTGTCGCCGCCCCGCGGGGGGACCTGACAGGCGGGACAGGCGCGGGCGACGGCTGCCGTCTCGCTGGACTGGGCGGATCGCGGGCGCTCTCAAGGCTGAGGCCAGAGGACCCTGCGGGCATCGCGACAGCAGCGTGGCCTCCCCTGACAACCGCGCAGGTCCAGTCTGGGGTGGCCAGGCGGAGCTCCAGACCCATCCCAACATGTCACCCCATAGTTTAAGCAATGAGAACACCATGAAGACAGTCTTGCTTAATTAGTAAAGAACCTCTGACCTTAACGGATCCCAGGAGCTATCTCACTTAGATTAATCCTTAACAAACTGTCACTCGTGGAGCGCAGAGGCACTTCGGATGGGGAAACGTCCCCCGTACATGTCTTGGCAGAGGACAGTGACAAACAGAAAGGGCTGCTGAGCATTATGTCGTAAAGTTTTAAATAGTAAATCTGAGAGCTCCATTTCCTTATTAGTTCTGAGAGTCCTGCGCTTGTTTGTCTAGTGGATTGTATTCTGGAGCTCGGTTTCAAGAAGCCGAGAGCTGTCTCTGCATGGCGATATAAGAACGTGAGACCAGTTACAGATGAGGGGAGTGAAACGGCCCATCTGGCCTATTTAGTAGTTCACAGCTAATTAATTCCAGGATCTCTTTTCCTGAAGGAAGCCAAGGCATTAACCATTCATCCATCCAAAACCATTCATCGTTCCTCTATCTCATACCTGTGCTTTCTGATTTACATTTGTACATCAATCAAGATCGAGACCAATGTTTGACAATCAGTTTGGGAAAAACATTAAAGGCTTTGAATTACTGCGAATTGTAAACTGAACGGCTTGAAAACAAAGCTGGTACATTCAGTACTGTCACGGTAAGCTGAGACAGACAGAATTAAGGCTCCTGCTCAAAAAAACACATTTCTTCCTTAAAGAAAGGTCTGAAATATGAAGTGTCTTTTTAACTTTTTAACAAAAAATAGGCATTACTTTTTTATACCACACAAAAGAATGCGAAAATTTTGTACGAATCTCACACACCTGACCCCCTCTTTCAAATTCAGATTTGTCCCTCTGCGTTGAGCACGCTGGGGTGTCCTGCAGTTTTCACTGTCTGTAATGCAGCTCTTACCTTGATCCTGCTACAGCCCAGCAGGCTTTTAGAGGGAAACCAAGCTCCTCAGTGCCTTAAAACATGACAGCAGGTTCAACCTATGCCATTTAAGCCAGTACCTGGCTGTTTCACTGAACTCAGGAGGCTCTCTGGAAGAATGAACCCCAGCGCTCAGTGTGTCTGGAGAGAGGACCTGTCTCTAACTACTCAGCACAGGAGCACTAACCAGGACAGGGTGATCTTCTGGAGCCCTGTCATTAAGGAGGCAGTGTTTAAAACAAATAATAATAACTAGTACTTCTAGTTTAGTGGTAATGATATTGAAAAAAGTGAATTAGTGAATTAGCACTGAATCTATGAACAGCTGCAAAAGCCAGAGATGGATGATCTCAGGGATTCAGGGGCTAGCACTTGTGACCCAGAGTATTCCGAACACAGGCAGGCTGCCGCAGAGCCGCGCGTCGTCTTTCAACTTGTTTTTCACAAAAGGCAGGGGCATGAGTCGGCAGTGAGCTGGCGACCACATTTAGCTCAACTGCTGCAAGACGCTGCAAGTGAACGACAGCCAATGAGCTCCGCCGGCCGCTGGGGGGGCGGGGGGGAGTGACGACACGCGTGCTCCCGGGCCGTGCGCGTTCACGGGGAGACGAGCAGGCTCTGACCCGAGTCGCATGTCCCGGGCTGTGCGCGTTCACGGGGAGACGAGCCGGTTCAGCTGACTGTCACACGCTCCCCCCCCCCGCGCATTCCTGCAGACGCTCTCCTGTCTCAGCTGTCCTCTCTCGGGCCGGGCCGGGGTCAAGGCGAGGGGTAGGGCCAGCCGCTTTGTCAAAGTAAACGCCAGTAGCAGAATCACGAGAATTCCCAGCCTTTCCGTCGAACAGCTGGTGTTAAAGTTGGAAACGGAAAGGAACTTTATGGCCTTAAAGATGTGCTAGAACCCGCAGAAAAGTAGAAAAACGAACTGAGGCACAAACGTCTTTTGCCATCTGTTTTCATGAAAGCTTCACGACTAAAAAAAAAAAGTAAAAAAACAAAACCAAGACAATCAGGCAGCAGGTCCTGCCTGCACTTTGAACGCTGAACTCACACCCCCTGAGAACTGGGGCGGAGTGTCAGAGCTGGACCCACAGTCCGCTAGACCCCTGCGCGAGACTGAGCCCACCTGGACCCCTGCTGGACCCCTGCTGGACCCCAGTTCCTGTGAGTAACAGGACGTGGTCAGTGACCAGAGGTCAGAGGTCATGGTCTGGTGATGGAACCCCTGACCGGTGAACCGGGGACAAACTTGATCTTATTTTATGGGACCACAGCGTGAGAAGAGCTGAGCGTGAGAAGAGCTGGGAGATCAGGCGTTCCAGCAGCCCAGCCCCAGAGCACTTTATAATCCAATTACAGTGCATGAAATCTGCTAGTCGTGATTATTGAGCTACTTGCTGTAATACAGGGAATTTTTAGGGATTAGCCTACTCTAGCCTGGTCTCAGCCCCTCAGTGTAACTGACATCTTGGCCGAAGCAGACTGTGTCTGCAATGCGTCCAGACCAGACAGCTCAGTTTCACCCCCTGTCAGGCACAAGGTGAAGAGCCCGTGGGTGGCAGGTGGTGGGGATGGGGGCTCTGAATGGGTTTCCTGCTCCCGAGTCTGAGGACACCCTGGGGACCCCCAGCCAGCGGGTGGGCGCCCTCATTTCTGACACGCGAGGTGTTGAAGTCTCATTAAATGGTCGCTCAGTTCGTGCCTCAGGAAAGGGGTTTGTTACAGGAAACGCTGTGGAGCACAGGGCCCGGCCCGGAGAGAGGCTCCTCTGCAGCTCGGGATCACTGCACACACCGCTTCGATCCCAGTGGGAACCAGAGGGAGATTTCAGCTCTAAAATATATCAACAACTAAGTATAATAAACATTTGTGTATAGATCTTTGTTTCATATGTAGGTCTGCACGTGCAAGGCGTGGTTTTACTCTAATGCAGATGCACATGAAGATCGATTAACAGACCTAACAAAATTGAGTTCGTATTTAGTTATTTCCTCTGATCGTGGGGATATAAGTAAAAACAGGCCTGACGCCTGACAGTCTGTTCTGTGCTCTTGGCAGGAAACAGGACAAAGCAGAGCCCGGGGGTGTTACAGGTGAGCCCCTTGGTCAGACAGGTAAGCAGCGCGGGGGAGTGTGCACATGGAACTGGGACGCCTTTAGCAACTGCTCTTGTTCCGAGAAGAAAAAGAAAGCTGCACATCGTAAGCAGAATACATGTCTTCCCACAACTGTGTGTGAGATCAGATCACCTGATTTTTATGCTGCCTCACAGCTGCAGTCAGGCAACAACTTAAGTTTAGCAAAGGCAAGAGGCCAGTTCTGCGACGTGCTCATTTGTTTCAGACCAGAGTTGCCGGGAAGAGCCGGCTCTGTGTGACTGAGTGTCAGGTTGAGGCTGGAGCAGGTGGAACACGCAGAGAACTGGATGTTAACGCACTACTGATCACCTGTTAAAAAAGAGCTGCTTTTATTGTCTTTTTCTTTTTCATTTCATTCTTGCCAGGGGCAGCGTGAACTGTCTAGAGCACCCGCCGGGAGTTCAAGATCAGCACTCATTCAACAATTTCATGACTTGGATCAAATCAGATTCAATTTGTAAAACGTAGTAGGTGGCTTAACATCTCTAGCAATTGGTTTGGAAACAAGATAGTCCCTGTTGATCGTGTTACTAGTTCAATAAGGCTGGGAACAGCCGTTTCTTAGGGGTCAGAGGGGGTTGACTTATTTTACTCTGTGGCTCGTCACACTTCTGTCTCTGAGTCCTGCTTCTCTCTCAGCGTGAGCTCAGAGGAAAGACCACACCAGTCACCACTCGCCAGATTACTAGTTACAAGTCAGCAGATGCATAGCATTAATTCCGAGGGGGGACAAGGGTGGATTTTAATATTGCAAGTATAATGAAAACATCGTGATTTTGTCTTTACCCTTCAGGATCACGGGGAGTTCAGACCTGCAATAATGAAGCAATGGGTCGCCCTCTGCCGGTAGAAAGTTGGTAGTACAACTAAGTACAGTTAATGGAATTAAAATAAGTAATGAGCAGAATGATCCAATACCCTCAAACCACAACAATAATAATAATTATGTCTCTCTCACTGTGTGGAGTCTGGTCTTCTCCTCCCCAGTGGGGAAAGCAAGATCTAGATTAATTCCTAGTCCCTTTTTTCTCATTTTCACCCTTCAAACTGACATCGAGATACACAGTGAGACCAGAGTCTACTGCGTCTTCCAATCCTGTCTTGGACCTCACTTTTGTAGCTCTGACTTTGAATTTGGTTTCATTTACTGTATTCATTTGCGCATCCCTGTCTCTTTCGTCTGATGGCTGTCCTGTCAAGTTCCTTGACACGATGTGGTATGGTGAAAGGTGTTGAATATACATGTGAAATAAAAAATATGAAAATTTGTGCTGTTAAGTCAACATAGCTCCGGAGAGTGGCGACGGGTTTGCATGATGTCTATCACTGACTCACACTGATGTTTTTATTGTTCTTTTTCTCACACTGCTTGTCTTGCTGTTATGTGCGTTATGTAACTTGTTGTTGCTACGGCTGCTATTCTGTGTTTATGTTTTTGGTGATTCCTTAATGTCTTTGTATGTGAGCATATAAGCAAGTAAGTCTTTTAATTGCACTTGTGCGTATGACAAATAAACTGAACTGATACAATATACAGGTTGTGTCCCCTGTTTGTCATATGAAAAAGAGTGACGTGCCCTTTAAGAACACGTTGCCTTTAACACACGACACATCTTCCTGGTGAGAGCGAGCCGGCGGTTTTCTGTAAACAATCATCAACTCTGAAAATGCCGGAATGTCCTTTCGCAGGATTTCAGGTAAGATGTAGCTTCATCATCTTCTTCACCTTTTGCAGTAGTGAGTTCGGCAGAAAAGCTGTTACGAACTAAAGTAGTGATAATCACTGAATCAACAGTTGCCCCTGCTGGACTTCCGTCACCGTGAGGAACAGCCCCAGAAAAAAAAACAGGTTGCACAAACTTCCGGAGGATTAATAACGAGTGGCTGTAGAAAGTTGTGCCATTTCGGTGTTTTCGCGCTTGCAAAACGGACGGACTAATTGTAAAGTTTTGTTCCGCGTTTCTTGAAAGGAGCCTGTGCGCTTGGGCACTTGTTAAGGGCGTACTTGATACAAACGCCCCTGGTTCGGTTCGTTTCGGACGGATGAGGTGTGTCCTGGAAGGACAGTGCGTATGAAGGCAGGTCAGATGTCTGAGTGAGAATGTTGTATGATAAACTTACCAGCTGGCAGCCCCACTGGAGCTCAGCCGGGCCAGTACCTGGAGGGGAGACTCCTGGGAGAGCTGGGGCTGCTGCTGGGAGAGGTGTGAGTGGGACCAGCAGGGGGCGCTCACCCTGCGGTCTGTGTGGGTCCTAATGCCCCAGCACTGGGACACTATACTGTAAAAACGTGCCATCCTTCTGATGAGACATAAAACCGAGGTTCTGACTCTCTGTGGTCAGTAAATATCGTTCCTCAAAAACGGCGTCATGGCCAAATCTCCCCCTGGTCTCTACCAGTCATGGCCTCCTAATAACCCCCCTCTCTGAACTGGCTCCATCACTCTGCTCTCCTCCCACTGAGAGCTGGTGTGTGGAGAGAGTAGTGGGGCTGCACACTGGTGGGGGTTGAGGGGTTCCCCGTGACATGTAAAGCGTTGTGAGTGGAGTGTCCAGGAAAGTGCTATGTCATCAATATTAATAATAATAATAATAATAATAAAGGTGCAGCTCAGTGCGGCGGCGGGGCTGTCCGGCAGGGGGCGCCGAGCGGCGCAGGCGCGGTGCGGCCAGGAAGTCGCTGTGTCGTAGGGAAATGATCCCGACGCAGGAGAGCGACTTGACAGACATGAGCAGCAGGGAGAAAGAGCTCAAAATACACTTCACACCTGGGAATGTGGAGCTGGTGGAGGTAAGACGGTCTGACCCGGTGGACGTGTGGGGGTCCCTCGGTCCCCGGCGCTGGTTTCTTTCAAGGCTGTCCTGACGTCTCGTTATCTCGTTTTTCCTTAATTTTTGTTTTTCCAGAAACGTCGGATGCACCCAGCCTTGTTAAAAGAAAAATACTGTCTCCAATATTATGAAAGTTCCCGGCCGTTTTAGCTGCTCAGTATTTAAATTATACTGCATCGCCTCGGTGGCTGCTTCGGTTCTTGTGTGTCGTTTCAGTTAAATAAGAGCTTCTTAAAAGACCGATCGTACTAAGGCGGATAAAACAGCATACACCTCCTTTTCGCTGGGTGAAACAGGGACGAATCTGCCCTCGTCGCACCATCAGGCAGAACAACATCAAAACCAAGTCCATTAAAAGACACCTGCCGTCTTTCCAAACTTCTGAGGGAGTCAGGTTCAGATAGGTGTTTGATAGCCTCGGGAAACAGACGTGGGGCTTATTCCTGGTTCAGGTGGGTCATCAGCTGTCGGTGTCCGGGCAGGACGTGTGCGTGATGTGCCGGTGGAAACCGTGTTTCCTGTGGCCCCCCTGCCAGTCTGGTGGAGCCCAGTCCATACAGCCCTCACCTGCTGGTCTTCATCGCTGCCGAGCTCCTTAGATCGCTCCTTAAGCAAGTAATAACTCCTAAATTGGTTGGCTTGAACCTTTGTAGTGTTTTTTTTCTGCGCTCAAAGGCTTCAGATCTTAGGTTGCCCATGAAACGTAGCTGTTTAAACAAAACCTCCTACATGTTTTCGAACTGAAAGCGATTAAAGAGCTCAAATTTATTCTTAATATTATTAAGGATCTACTGCCTTAATTTCAGCCTCAGTTGGGACTAGAGCCAGCAGGTGTGGAGTGTCCCCCAGACCCAGTGTCCCAGAATTGGGAACCCCTACCCTGCTCCTGTCTGTGTCCTGAGACTCCAGATCCCAGTTGCCCACCACACCCCTGTTCTGTCGGACCTACAGTGTGCCAGTGACCCAGTGAAGCGCTTTCCCACCCCCGTAGCAGGAAGCAGAGATAAGCAGAGCTACCTCAGCGGTAGGGGGGTGTCATTAGGGAGGGGGTAACACCAGCACGAGGAAGTTATCCTTGCATCCTTGTTCTGTCGCTTCTTCGAGCCTGTCCCAGGGTGCACCCTGGCTGGGACACCAGTCCGGCGTCAGAGAGGAAGTTACGATTTGGGCTGTGGAAGATGGGAATCTGGAGGTGCTTCCTTGCACGGAGGACTGTGGGAGTGAAAATGGCTCCATGGGAAGACTGGGGCAGGTGGAGTTGTAGTTTAACGATCTCGCTGGTATCCCGGTGAGCAGGGTTGTTGAAAGGCCTGCTTTCCTTAAAACCCTTCTTGTCTGCTCTTCCCCGTCACTCTCCCGTGCTTTCAGCAGCTCCCGGGATGCTGTCAGTGTCCCGCTGGGGATCCTTGAACTTCCGGTCTCTGCCTTGGTGCCTGTCTCCTTGCCGTTCCTCTCCGCTCCTGGTCTCTTGCTGTGGACCAGGGAGGGAGGCCGGGGGGCAGTCAGTTGACTGTGAGCAGTCTAAGGGACTCAGATTCACATTGCTCCTGCAGGACCTTTTTCTGCTTTGATCCGGGAGGAGTGTGATAGTGGGGGAAACCCGGCCTGCATTTGAGTGAAATTCCATTATTTTAATGATATTGACCTGCTAATGTCCTGCTGCGGCTCGGGCGTCGGAGCTGCTCTCCCATTCCCAGTCTGCCGAAAGCATCGGAAACTGGACTAACGTGTCGTTTGAAGCACCGTCTGTGCATGGATCTGTGCATTGTCCCTTGAGGAACTGTGGATGTGTGGACAGATTACTCAACATTTACCCTCCGATAAAATCTGAGTTTACAGTCTGCTAACACATTCCCCCGGTGGTTGGTGATTACATTTGAGGTGCTCTTTAAGCCTGCTAATGGTACACTGCAAGGGAAGAGAGCTCAAACAGCAGTGCTGTGCTTAGCTAGGGCTGTGTTATACAGTGCGTGCTGTAAGAGAGAGACTTTCTACAAGCAGTTCTTAGTCGGCTCCATGCGGCTTTTCTTAAATGACTCCTATGCCTTTTGTTGCATCACCATTTTGCTCTCAGCTTTGCCAGCGGGCAGCGGGGTTAGGGGTGTGTGAGGGTGCCAGGAGAGGGAGCGCTCCTCGCTCGGGTGTCCTCCACGGCCCTGGGAGAGGGGAATGGAAGGGATTCGTTCCCGTTGAGGCCGTGTCCTGCCTGGCCAGCGGCCAGCTGCCCTGAGCGCGTGCGCTCGTCAGAGTGAGATAAAATAACGTGTCATAGGGGACAATTTTAATGGACACACAGGGCTTCTGTACGTCTGAAAACATCACAACACATTATACATCGCGTCTGTTACACATCCATACTGCAGCTCGGTACAACAGTCGTGGCTTGCTGTTTAGTTTATTACAGCTGAACTGGCTTCTACTGGCCCAGTTGTGTTCACCCTTGTTGAAAGGCCTGCTTTCCTTTCCTGCGGGTGAGCACCGCTCGGGGCCGCGGTGTGATCGTCTGTGGCCCCCCCCTGATGCGCCGTCCCCCCCCCCCCGCAGGAGCACGTGGACACCCCCTTCAGGAAGGTGCTGGTGACGGGCGCCACGGGGCTGCTGGGCCGGGCCGTCTGCAAGGAGTTCCAGAACAACGGCTGGCACGTCATGGGCAGCGGTCACAGCCGCGCCCGGCCCCGCTTCGAGAGCTGCAACCTGCTCGAACCCGAGGCCGTGCGGCAGCTGGTTCAGGGTTTCCAGGTGAAATCTCCCATTTTTCCTTTGTGTGTTTATCTGTTGAATGAGACTGGTTCTCCGCAGGCCGTCCAGGCTCCTCTGCGGAATGTCTCTGGTGCTGGAAGGGACAGGAGCTCCCGCCACTGAGCGGCGCTGTATCAACAGGCGAATTTGACATTTAAGGAGGTTTCTTTCCATAACTTCCAGAACAAGGGCTTCATTTTAAATCTGTGTAGAGATTTTAACGCTGACTTTTTAAATATAAGAATTTTGCATTTTTTTTAAACAGGCCATTTTTTTATCTACAGACTTTGTTGCTGTTACAAGCAGTTTTTTGTCGCTGCTCAGTACACATTTCCCCAGCTCGAGCTTCTGCTTGCTTCAGACACGATCCTGTGGTCTAATAAATACTGGGTACTTGTATGAGATGCAACACTCAGGCTCATATGCAAAGGTCGGTTTAGTTCACATGAACTTTTATGTTCTGTAATAAAATGCGGTCGAGTCATAGACCACACAGCAACACAAGCTGATGTTCCCAGGAGGTCAGATCAGTCCTTTTTTGCTTCCACCTCAGATTTCAGGAGGATGGGAGAGCTTGCCGGTAGCCTTTGGAGAATCCCGACTGTTGCACCACCCCAGCGCTCCTCCGTATTATGGCATGCTTGTGTGTTGTCGTAAGGCCCGTTGAGCACACGGGCTGCCATCTGTTGACAGGGTCCCTGGGGGCCCCCGGTCGTGACGTCAGAGCTGAGGCACTGCTCAGGCCACTGCGACTCTGCAGAAGAGTCTGTGACAGTGGTTGTAAGTCCTGCGTGTCGGGGAGCATTGGGGTGCCATCGCTTCTGAGCCCCCCTCTCAGTCGGGTTGGTGCAGTGAGCTGTGAGTGGCTCGTGGGGTGCTTTGCCCCGCTTTGCGGCCGGGTGGCTGACCCGTCTGCCCTGACGGGGGGGCAGCGGGTCACCTGCAGGGCTGTGAGGCAGCGTGTCTTAGGAGGGAGACAGAGCGCGTGTGTGTGTGTGTGCTTGCAGCCTCACGTCATCGTGCACTGCGCGGCGGAGAGGAGGCCGGACGTGGTGGAGACCCAGACCGAGGCTGCGACGCAGCTGAACGTGAACGCCGCGGCGACCGTCGCCAAGGAGTCAGGTGAGACCCCCCCCAGCCCCATGCCAGGTCACACGGTCGCAGGACACAGGGCTGGCAGGAGAGAGTCATTCCCCCATCCGTTTCCCTCTCCGCACTGAGCCGCCTTCGGTGGGATCCGTGTTTTTATTTTTTTCATTTGCCACAGTCCGAAGTGAAAGATTCCCGACCGGGCATTTGTGCCAGCGTGTGGCTGCCGGGGCTGCTGCAGTGCAGGGCGTCGGGCCCGGCGGTGGGGGGGTCGCTGTGTCTCTCGGCTTGTGTTCTGCCCGAGCTCCCTCCTCCCTCTCTCCCTTCTCACTGTTGGTTACAAAATTCAAGTTCAGCACTCTTACACAGGCCTTGAAGGCTTGCCTGTCGTGCATCTTTCACATCAACTGAAAACCCTGCATGAACCTTACAGATGCTGTCCAGTTGCTCGTATAACTAATAACAGTCAGAGCTGCTCAGACAGGTGAGCCGGGGTCAGTGTCAGCTGGACTGCAAGCCCAGGGGAGCCTCAGCCCTCCTCCCTTCACACACCAATGGCTTTCAGTGCTGTGGCCGGCTCACTCATTATTCTCCCTTGCAGCTGGGATGTTTCTCATACACATCAGCACGGACTATGTGTTTGACGGGCGCGACCCCCCGTACGCAGAGAACGACCCCCCGAACCCCCTGAACCTGTACGGGAAGACCAAGCTGGAGGGAGAGAGGGAGGTCCTGCGGCACAATCCCGGTAGGAGCTCCGGGGCTCGTGGACCCACAGAGCTGGCCTTGTCAGAATAGATGCATACTAATGTGGATTTTTAGTTGTAGCACACTGACAATAAACATGTCAACATCACAGAATTGGGGATGGAATAAAAAACAAAGTTGAAGATAACATTGCAAAGAGAGCTACCTCCCCAAATAGAGCCTTTTGTGATGTGAAAGAACGGTTTGCCACTACCAGCGTCTCCTCGGGCTGTTTAATGAGAAATAATTTTGCCACTTTCCCCGTGCGAGCGGGGCAGAAGGTGGTGCTAACGTCTCGCTTTCCCGGTGCTTGTGGGCTCGCCCTGCGGGGGGCGTGGCGCCAGGCGCGGCCGTGCTGAGGGTGCCCGTTCTGTACGGCGCCGTGGAGAAGACCGAGGAGAGTGCCGTCACGGTGCTGCTCGACAAGGTGCAGAACGGCGCGGCGAGCTGCGGCGTCGACCACTGCCAGCAGCGCTTCCCCACCTACGTCAACGACGTCGCCAGCGTGTGCCGGCAGCTGGCTGACCGCAGGCTCCAGGTGGGTGTCTGTCCAGTGCCGGCGGGCACAGGGCCTGACCGATCGTCCAGCAGCTCCAGGCTGAAGCCTGCACGAGACGGCGCTTTCTGCAGAAGAGTCTGTGACGGCTGTGAAAGCTGAAATGGGTGATAAAACTCGTGCCACTTGAAAAATAAACTCCATGCAGGAAAATTATTTTCTCTTTCTCTAACCTCCCCAGGATCCGTCGATACAGGGAATCTTCCACTTTTCGGGCAAGGAGCAGATGACCAAATACGAAATCGCTTGTGCGATAGCTGATGCCTTTAACTTGCCCAGCAGTCATCTCATTCCGGTATGTGCTGGCACATAGAAAAGGTTTGAATAAAATGTTTCTTATTCTAAGTCACAGAGTGCCTTTGCGCTGCTTTGGTTCTTTAGCAGCGCGTTCCAGTTGAATAAAGCAGAAAAACAGGGATGCCCCCCGAAATAAAATCTTAAATTTTTGTCTGGAGATGAGCAGTGAGACGTTAATGCCAGGTCTAAAACATGCTAATGTACAAGAAGAATCTGGACTCTGAGAGCAGCTCTTCGAGAATAGAGCTTTCGGCTCTTGTCCCTGTTTTTGCTTCAGTGCTGTGGGGTTTTTGATCCCGACACCTCTTTGTCTCGTGATGTTGTTCAGCTGGACCGTCTCTTGGAGGTCAGCGCGATGCCTGGCTGTGCCACTCTTGCCCGCTGGCCTGTCGGATTGCCCTTGCGGGCACTGAGCAGCAGGTCTCGCGGCCTCGGAGAGCACGATGAGGTGGCGTGGTGCTCTTCGGGTGAGGGCCCAGGCGCTGGGGGGGGTTCGGAGGGCAGCGGAGAGGCGAGAAGCTCCCGGGGCCCGACTGCGATTGGGGCCGCAGAGCCTCGGCGAGGGCGCTGATGCGTTTCCTTCGGCCCCCCCCACAGGTGACGGAGCCGCCGGCCGACGTGGGCGCCCGACGGCCACACAATGCCCAGCTGGACTGCTCCAGGCTGGAGGGCCTGGGCCTTGGGCGGCACACCCCCTTCAAGGCGGGCATCAAGGAGAGCCTCTGGCCCTTCCTGCACGACAAGAGGTGGAGGCAGACCGTGTTCCACTGAGCAGGCCCGAGGCGAGAGACTGCACTGCTGCTCCTTCCACCCGCTGGCCATTCCTCCCTCAGAAAGTCTCAGAAGCTTCTCTATAGCCCATTCCTGTAGACGGCAGGTATTATGCACTCGTGGAGGAACTAGAATTCAAGCATAGCTATCTGCCTGTGTCGTGAGTCACTCTGGGACTAAATATTACAAATACAGACTTGGAGGGGGGGTTGCTGTCTGTGTCTGTCTCTGTCTCGGTAGAGGTAGCTCGCGCTCTGGAATCAGGGTGGTAAGGAACATTTTGTCCAGCAGGGTGTACACAGTGGAAAACCTAATGTCTAGGAGAATGTAAAAAAAAAATAGAAATTTAGTATTTTTCTAGAACGTCGCATTTGTCAGTCACGCCAATCTAAACAGTGTTTGAGTTCCAATGTTTTTTTTTCACATTTTCGTTTGCACAGCAGAGCATCCTCTTGCCTGCCCTCTCAGAGTGTGACTCGCTGCTCAAGATGTAGTGTTAGGAAGCACGCTGTGACCTGGGGTTTGTGCGAGACGGGCCTGGAGGCTGTTCTGTCCAGCTCATGAAAATCTCAAGCCCACAATCGCAAGAGAAAAGGGGAGGTTTCTCTTTTCACTGTTCCAAAACCTGATTTCCCGATTTCATGTTGAGGTGCGAGTTTGGCTGAAGAGTGTCTGACGGAGTTCCTTGACATGCTCGATACCTCTGCCGTTAAGTACAGTGCTAGCTGATGTTCAGGTTTTCCAATTTTCCTTACTGCAGACAAGTTACATTTGGAAAAAAAAATATGCAGGTAAAAATATCCTGTAAGCACAGTGTAAATTTCAGTCTCTGTCCATTGTGGAAGAGGAGCGCTCCCATTTCTCCAGGAAAGATGGCTGTGTCCGTGTCCCTAAGCTACAGAAGTACTAGAGTGTGGGTTTCGTTCTGAAATATAGCAATAGAAAATTAAGGAGACATGGGAAATTTACTGAGCAGTTGCCAAAGATTAAAGATTGCACACCGCTTGTCAATGAATTCACAGTCCTTGAGTCCACCAGGCTGATGGACGCCATGGACTGTAGGCTTCTGTGAGTTGGTGGTGCACTCCCTGTTTTTGCCACCAGGTGGGGCTGCATGTTGCCGAAACTGGTTAAAAAAAGCAAAGGGTGCAGAGACTGGAAGGGTGGGTATTCCGTGACCTGGCTGAGGATCTGCTTTGTGGGCTTGACCCTTAAAATTCTGCACTGTGTGGCGTATTCAGAGCAAGCCCCCCCCCGGATAGGAGCAGAGCCCTCCTGCTGTCTTTGTGTGTCTCACTAACAGGCCCAGTCTCACCTGAACTCCTTTCTTCACGCAGTTGTTGTGGCGGTCTCCTGTGGTTTGACGTTTCATAAAATATAGTTTTGAAGTGTTTGGAAAAACAACTGAATCAGAGAAGCTAAATATTAATTGGGGTAAGTGATTCTGTTAAATGTACTGTTTTGAAAAACCTTTAAATTCTTTTATAAAATCCTCCGAGATTGTGCACGGTCTGTGAGGGCTGTTTGATTCCTGGCATGGTTTCGACTTGGTCAGTTTGGAGGCAGGTTCAGAGGGATTTTCCAGGCAAGTTTGTTGTTCCTGGGAATGTTATATAGTCATATCTGAAATGGAAAAGTAGGGGACTATTTTCAACCTCTGTGTTGTTAGAGAAGGGAGGCTCTTAATTCCTTGCTCCCAGGTGAACTTTGAACTGGGGTGTGTCTTCAAGACAAAGAGTGAGCTGGTTACAGTGAATGACACAAGGACAGGAGCAAGATTGTTCTTTATGTGCGTTCTCATCACGTGACTACTGAAGATATAGACGCAGTTTTTTCACAGTCCTTCTGCGTGCTCAGAATAGTAAGTTGGTGTCTGGGTGGAGTAAATTGAGTTGTCTGGCTGTTACTGCTGCCCCAGATACTTTTTCAGTGCTTCACATAGACTGCTCTGAGGTAATACTCGCAGTTTGTGGATAATTTTGTTCTGAGGTAATAAGATCATTGGATTGATCCAGCCTTTATCTCTTACCACTGTCCTGTGTGTTAAGTGTGCATTAAAGGGTTCAGTCCATCAGTCAGCACTCAGTACTGCTATAATCATTGGAAGAATGACACGAGAGATTGATTTATAATTTTGGAAGAACTATTAAAATGTTCTTGAAAATGTGAGCATCATATGGTGTTGGATACTTTTTTTATGCAGGAAACCTTCAAATTATTATTTTTACATCCTGCAAAGTTTGCAAGCTTCTAAGACAGAGCTACTCCAGTTTACACACCTTTCAAACTCCTCCATTACACAATCTCACCACAGATCAGCTCCTTATTTACTTGCTAATAATCGATTTCTGGGTACATCAGGGTCCAAGAGTGGGGTGAGTTGATTTCGACACGAAGCAGCAGTACTGGGGCTGCGGCCAGTCCGAGGTCATTTGCATCTGCTGGTGTAACAACACCCTGTGTTCTTTCATCATGCCGAGGACTGGAGAAGACAGCTGCTTCTATAGGAACTAGCTCTTTCAGTTCCTTGACCGTTTCTGTTATTGCACTGACCCTTGTGAAGACAGTCCCCAGGCCTTGTGGAAGATGGTGATCTTGTTCAATTTTTTGCTGATGGCCAGTTATGCTCAGGGCATGAATTCTGATTTTTTTTTTTCCTCAAAATGTATTTGCATTAGAGTCTAATTCCCATCTACAGGAGAGTCTTGTTTCAGGCTAGGTCTTTTAGATCCGTCCATCCATTTTCAGACACTGGGTTGTGGTGATCCCAAGGCTGGCCTGACAGACGGTAGGCACCACTTCATCAGACTTTCAGGCAATGAATAAAAATAGGGAAGGCTTTTCTTTAAGCAGTGTTGTGCAGATTACTAGCCGTTCTTAAACACAGCTCGAGATTTGTTTGACTTTTTCGTGAAATTGCTCATGCCTGTTGGTGTTTGGTCACGTAGTTCAGATCGGATAATATTCTGTTTTTACCTGGTTGGATTTGACCTGTGTAAACTGACATTGCTTACCAGTGTGAACAATATGAGCACTGTGTCACCGCAGTCTGTATAGTGTGCACTGAACACTCCACACGTGGCACCTGTAAACCTTCACAACCTTGTTTCCCCAATAAAGCAAAGCTTCATTTTTCAGCGTCTCTGGTTTTTTCCTTCTCTTCTGTTGACCTTCACTTACTAGCCAGTCACAGCGCTGTTCACAGCGTCCCACTGCGTGTCGAGAAGACTAGGCACAGAGAGTGGCGGGAGGGTGGAACAGGCCGATACCCTGGCTTCCTTCTAGGAGGAGCTGGGGGGGGGGGGAGACCTTGGGTCTTGATGAGCTGCTGACGACCTCCCTTCCCTCTGGTGCTCTTGGCTGTGGGTTTGGGTGTGCCAGTCGGCGGGGGCATCACTCACGGCCCATCATGCCCCGTTCCCACCCCTCCGCGCTCTCGCTACCCCAGCGCCGCACCCCCCTCAGGTGGGCTCCGGGGAGGCGCGGATACCGAAACGCTCGGGGTCCCCTGCAGTGTCCTCCGACCAGACAGCGCGGCGCAGCAGGCGTCCCTTTCCTTCCAGAGGGCTCGGCACCCCGCCGCGCACAGGCAGCCAGGAGCTGCGCCGCGGCTGCCGCTCTGCTCGTCAGAGCTGGAGGGGAATTCCGGTTCCTGCAGGCTGGCGGCGGGCCGGGCCGGGCCGGGCCGGAGGAGGGAGGGAGGGAGGGAAGGCGGGGGGCGGAGTCAGGTGATTCCAAGTCACAAGCCCCGGCGGCCGTGACGTCACGGCTCTTATAGCCGTCCGGAGGGCAGCGCGCAGGAGTCGCGCTCCAGTTCCAGCACGCAGAGCCTCGCGGGTGGACCGTCAGCTGATACCGGGGCCGTTACACGGTAGGGGCACGGCGCGCGTGAGGTGCTCCGGCCGCGCAGACGGTCCGGTTGCGGGGGGTTTCAGCCTGTCATCCTTGCGTGGTTGCCGGCCGAAGTGAGGAGGCAGGGGTCGCGGCGAGTGCACCGCCGGGTGCTCCGGTGTGCTGCCTGTCACCTGGGCGTTCAGCGGCTCTTCAGCGCTGCGTGGCGTGGCGTGGCGTGGCGTGGGCTCTGCCCCGGGACGGGGTTCGGGAGAGGTCGGGGTGTAGGACTGACGCCTGGCATCCGCACGCTGAAAACAGACGGTCTAACGCTTCACTCGGTTCCTTCTCTTCTCACCCAGATGGGTTTAAGTTTGGTGATGATTACCACGCTGCAGAAACGTTCGGGGTTTTTTTTCCCCCGTGTATAATAATTTATAATTATCATTAAATGTACAATAATCACGGGTAATCTTACTCTTTGAACAGTGCGCACGCTGCTCACAATGATGAGATCTATCGTTCTGCGGGATGTGGGGCGACCGGGTTGAATTTCGCTCGCTGCGGTGCCCTGTGCGCCGGTGGTCGGGCCGGGGGGGCCGGTGGTCGGGCCGGGGTTGGGTTGAGCTCCGCCGTCCCGGCCCGGACTGCGCTCCCGGTAGGTCACGTGGTCCCCGGAGTGCCGGACACACGCCCCGCGCTCGCCGATCTCATTGGACGCGCAAAGTTGCATTTCGGGTTTTGCAGCCTTGCTGCTCCGTTGCTGAATTTATGTGCCCGTGGGGTCCGTGTTGACGACGTGTATCATATCCTCCCAGTGCGGGGGATTGTGGACACCTGACTGTGCTGGGCAGCGCAGCTGGGGGGCAGTCTGGCCCAGTGCTTCAGAGCCCCGCAGGTCACACGGAGTTTGGTTAAGCAGAGGTTTTGCTGCAGCCCTTCAAATAATGCAGTTTTGGGAATTCTTATCCATTTGACATTGCCCCGGAGGAGACAAGATTAATGACTGAGACACAGGACCAGTGGTGTAGCAGTATCCCTCTGGTGCGATGTCGTACATTTATGATCTCTAAATGGCCGTCTGCCTGTCGAGCTCAGTCTCCGTGTCTCTGTGATTCCTCAGGAATTTCTACAGCCAGGCGTGAGAGTTCACCATCGTTCATTTTAGCCGATTGAACCCGTTCACCTGGCTCCTGTAGAGTAACAGTGGGCCTCTCCGGGCTTGTGGATACCATGAAGGAGCTGCGGGCGGTCCTGACCCAGTGCTGTCCACCGTGACTCTGAGAGTTCGGAATACCCCCCTGAGCCGTCAGTCGGAGAAATCTCAGCCCGCTGGGGAAGGCGAGACTCTGCCGAGCTCTGGAAACTGACCGGTCGAGCTCAGCTGGAAAACTTTTCCAGGTTTGGCGCAGACAGGGTGGCAGAAAATAAGCAGGAACTGGAAGCGAGGGGCAGGAGACCCTGAGGTGGAAATAATCTCACTTGGGGTCATGGAATTTAGAGCAGGTGACCTCTGGGATTGTCGGAGGACCTGTGTGCGCTGGAGCATAAGGATCTCCTTGGAGAAACTGATGAGCTGTTTCAGTGTCGGCGTTTCGGACATTTGGGAGATTGTGCTGTTCGGCAGGAGCCGAACCTTCTGCAGACCCCCCACCTGAGCCGGGGTCCCAAGCCCACCTCTCCCTGCGGAGTTGCTTCCTCTGCGTTTCTCTCGCGGGTCTCGGGGGTCTGCGGCGGTGGTGTGCACACCTGACGATGTGCAGGTGGCCAGTCCAGGAGGGTCCGCCCGTGCTTGTTTACACGCGTGTGCGGAGCGGTCAGGCCGCGCGCTCTCTGCGGTCGAAGAAGGCCCTGTGAGTTTCTGTCACAGCTGGTGCTCCCCGCGCTGGCAGCCTGGGGGCTGCTGTCCAGGACGGTCAATAGTTCTGGGAGTTCGGTTTGCGGGTGAAATGTCTGCCAGCTCGTTCTTCAATGATCGCGCCAGAGCGAGTATCGATCGGCGCTGGTCGCTGCTGTAGCACAGCCAGCCTGCTCTTCCTGGGGTCACGTTACAGCCCAGCTGGCCCCAGCCGGAATGTGGGCGCAGGGTGGGGTTTCTCCTGATATCCGCGGAGCTGGGACACCCCATTTCTCCAGGTGCCGTGTTCGCGCTGACTGACAAACTCGTGACTCACGAGCTGCGAGATGCTGGGGGCGCGAGTCAGGCAGGAAGGCTGCGATGTGTTCACAGTCCCGTGTGCTAATTAATACCGCTGTTTAATGAGCTCCTGGGAGATTAGCCTAACCTTGGTCTGATACAGGTTTTGCCAGAGGTTAGACATTCTTGTAAAGGAAGGAGGGCTTCAGGCTTGTAGCTCACTCCCATTTCTCCTCCTTGTCTTGCCCTCTGACAGTTTGCTGGGCTTTGAACTGGCCTGACGACAAACCTTTGTTTCCCCAATGCTTGAGTAAACAGCGCCGTGGAAATGGACTGAACTGTGCTGAGAAAGCCCTCTCCTCTAATTGGCTCTGAGCTTCTCTTACCGGGTCCCTCCGGAGGACAAGAATCAAGGTACAGGTTTTCTCTGGGGCACGCGTGTGCTGTGCTCTCCTCGCGCTGCTGCGAGGGGAAGGACTGTTTCATTCTGCAACAACACCCTGCTCTCCAGTCGACCCTTTTCAAATGCTGCTGGGAGCAGCACAGACGGGGGTGAGCTGGAGCCCAACCCAGCAGACAAGGGGCACTAGGCAGGATCCGCCCTGGACAGGACAGCAGTCCTTCACGCATAACATAGGTGGAAACTGGATCTTCCAGTGAAAACCCACATGGCCTCAGGAGGACATGCAAACTTCACACAGAATGTTCACCCATGATCTGTGAAGCACTAGTGCTGAGTGCAGTGCTGCTGATCCAGCTTTCGACTGTTAGATGTGTATACTATTATGTATGTTATGTCAAATATAATACTATAACCATGCGTTGCTACTGTATACTCGTGGTTACAGTATTATCATCATCATTTCCTGCTTTTCACAAACCACAGCTGGAAACTGAGTGCCCTTTCCCCAGGGAAGTTGTGTGCAGGAAAAAGCAATGCTGGAAGAGGAGCAGTGGGCAGTGAGTTCCTGTAGCCTAGCTGGACCTGAAACGCTGAAACAGATTTGCAAGTCATCCTGTACGCAGCAGGTCTTTCCACCTGTGACGTCCTCTGACCGCATGGAGAGATATGGCAACAGTTCCTCCATTGTCAACTTACCTCTCATGCAAACAACAGGGATCTGATGTGTTCTCTGGGCTGGTGATCGATATCGAGCTTCTGATAATATCCAGGCTCTGGCAACTCGGCCACCTGGTGCTGAATGGCGTATCGCTGATCCGCTTGCTGTGCCAGCTCTGGGTGTGCCAGATGGTCCGGGACTCTGCCAATTCACACACACAGAAACACGCTTTGAAACTGTTAAAACCTCTAGGCGGGACTTCCTTATCGCAGATTTCATCTTCATTTACTTACTGTACGTGCTTGCAGCTTTTCTGGGGGATAGAAGCTGCAGGTGCACCTCATCCTCCAAGCTCCCGTGTTTCCTGCTGAGGAGCTGGTTTCTGGACTTTGCTTGACACGTTTTTTTTTCTCCAGTTGATGGTATATTTGGGTCGAGCTGAGAGAAATTAATTCTAAATGAAGCAGAAGGATGGCTTTAGCCACAGGGGTTTAAAACGGGCACACGAACATCTGCTCAGCATGTGGGCTGTGACTTTCACACCTCGGAGCCCTGGGCAGGAATACTGTCTTTGTAGGAAAGCCTGTTCTGTTGTGGCCCAGTTAGCTGGGCTGTGAAGGCCGTGTTCATAGAGCTTTCATACAGCTTCTGTTTGTCCATAAATGTCTCCTGTAACAATCTTATCTGTCGGGGCGGACTGACGTGAACCCATTGCCTGCACTCGTGTAGCTGACCGGCTGAGTTGTCGTGGCCTGACGTCCTGTCCACTCCTGTTTGTTTATGGTGTCTTTCTAATGCATACGTCTGAATATAGATTGTACCTGAGGAATTGGCATCAGCTTTGCGGAGTCTGAAAAATTCATAGCATTGTTTTAATTAGTTAATACATGAATAGACATTTGTTTTGGACTTGTTTGACATTGTTTCCTAAAAATGTACAGTAGCTGTGTTGTGTTCACTCACTGGTCACGATAGTGTACTCATGTGGCAGGTATTTTAATATCAGGGCAAGAGTTTAACTTATTTACAATAGTTACAGCTTTGTTTGTGAGTTATTACATAAATGCAAATTGATTAGTAAAATTATTAAAGTGCTAGTATTGCTATGTTATGGTCATCTTTAGCATTCAGTAATAGATGGAGAAGATTACTTTTTTTAATTGTGGATTCTGTGATTTGTTGTATGTGACCTGTTCTCCAGATATGAGGATTTCTGTGAGCATTTTGGTGTTGAGTTTTGTTTGCATTGTGACTGCTGAAAAAACTTTTAAAGGAGTTGCAGCCAGCAGTCCCTCTGCTGTGAACAGAGGGTTTGTGATAAGGGTTTGGTGACGGCTTCCAGCTCTGCTTTTAATAGTTTTTGCTTAATTTTAAAGTAATTGTTGTTGTAATGTTTGTAATACCCATACTTTTGTTAAAATTTAATCTAAAAGATTAAATTGCTGCTAAAACGCACAGCAGGCTTGGCGCTTGTTAAAAACAGAATTCTGGAATTTGAGTTTTGGAAACAAATTGCTGCCGTTGTATAAAAAAAAATCTCTAATAGGCTTTGGGAAGCAAAACAGCTCTGTCTGTTGCTGTATCTTTTTCCCCGACTGAAACGAAAGCATAAGAGTTAAATTGTTTTAGCACCTGGTTAAATAAAAGTAAAATAAAATCTACAGACATATTATAGACATTTACAACAAGACATATCATAAAATATTTATATTTACTGTGAACATATTGAGCATTATTGGGAGACAGGCTCACTGTTCCTCAGGCTGTGACAGGAGATCACATACTGGGCTGCCAGTTCAACTGAGTTCCCTCCTCCCTCTCCCAGTAAGATTGGGACCCGTT